TTTATTTATATAATTTAATTTAAGTTTAACCTAACCAGGATAAGAAAAATAAATGTCCACCTAGTATAAATAATCTCTTCTAAAAACAAAGAGAAAATTGATCAAATATACTCAACAATACATTGTTTATTTCTTCCTACTATTAGATTTGATACTATCTAGAATTTTTATTTATTGATTAGCTTGTTATTACCTATTAGAAAAATTTAATCTACTAAAACTTGCTCAAGATACTTAACATCCATTGATGCTAAGAATCTCTTATACTAGTTAAGAACTAGTCGGTATTAAAAAAGAAGAGGTAAAAGAAAAGAAAAAAAAAACAAAGGGAAAAAGATAAAAAATATTTACAAGAAGAGAGAATAAGAGAAAAAGAAAAATTGCTTAAAAATAGCTCTTCCACTCAACTTTGCCTCTAAAAAAGTACTTATTTCATAGCTATAATACTTTTAGAAAGTAATGAGAAAAAGGAGACTACAGTCTATATGGAATATGCATAACTAATTAATGATTTATAATAAACCTAAGGTTCTTATGAAACTTAAAAAATATATTTATGTTTCATGTCATGTGTATTCTTGTTTATATTTTTGCTAATTATGGAGCAATCAATTTTGATCTTTAGCCAATCAATTTATTCAAAATCTGGTATAATAGGAAATTCAGAGTCAAGTTAAAATAAACAAAATTTCTTAAAAAAATTAAGAAAAACTATTATACATTAAAAGAGAAACCATTTCTACCTATAGTATTAATATCTATTTCTTTGGCTGATAAGGAGTCATTGATTCCATTTCTTTCTAGACTTTGGAATCTCTATAGAGAAAAAGGGAGAATACTTTTTCGTCTGATTTCTTCTTCCTAAAAAAACTTTTTTGTTATTAACTTTTTAAGTAGAGATTTTTAAAAAAGAAAGATAAATAAGAAAGGTAAAGTATGATTACTGTTAAGTAAAGCAGATATTTTTAAAAAAAGTTTTGAAGTCTTATTACTCTCAAAATATAAAGTTTTGAAGGAATGCTTCTTTAAAAGTAATAGTCAAAAATCTATATAAAAAAGTTTGAAAGATTGATAATTTATTTTTATTATTGATTTATTAAGTGATATTATATCAAATAAATATTTTTTGACTAATATACAGTATATACAGTATACTGTATATATATATTTTTTTTAAGTACCTATAGCCAAGCTAGATTGTTAGTTTATTAATAAATTGAAAATATAAGTACATTTTTATTGAAGCAGCATGATACATATTACTGTTAAATTATTATTCTAATTTAACTAACTCGTTTTAAGTATAAAAACATCTAAGTTCAACCTTGAGGACAATATTTTGCTCCACGGTATCTTTGAATAAAAACTCTTCTAGTCTACTATATTATTACCAGCAAGTTGTCATTGTTGTATATTATACCAAGTCATTAGAATACAAGAAACTACAAAAGGATGGGTTGAAAAAGGGAAAGGGAAATATCTAAAAATATCTAAATAGACAACAAGAAAATGAAAGAGTAAAAATTGAAAAAATATTTCCAGCTTCCTCCAAAGACTTGTTTCTTATGATCTCTTCTCAATAAGAAATATCCAATTGAGATATTCTTTCTTTTTCTGATCATCTGAGGAACTTATCTATTCTTAATCTTGATTTTTTTCTTGTGTACTATCTGAGGAGACTTATTACCTAGTGAGAGCCTTTATTTCTAGGATACATTTGGTCCCAACCTTTTTTGAGTAGTGATTTTTTATTCCCCTGTAGTAATAAGATGACTTAAGATGGATCCCAGGTTCTTATGTGACCTATTAAGAACTAGATCATGTTGTTTCAGTATAATACTTTTTAGTAGTCATGCCTAATTAAAGAAATTTTACTGTATATATCTTTTATTACTCAAAAGGTCAGATTTCCCAATAATCCTTTTGCCTTGTAATAGAGGAAGAGTCTCAAGAGTAGTGGAGATCCTTGTTAATTGTAATATTCTTTAACAACTTCTGGAAAATGCATTCTTAATTATAACCAAAGGATTGGAGCTTCATATGGACTAGAAACTATTCGATCTTATTGCCTGACTGGGATAAAAAAGAGATTTTGATCTTAAATAGGATAATAGAAGAGAAAAATCTTAGCTTGAATAAATAGTAGCTTTTTTACTACCTGGAGACTTGTTGTTCATATCTTATTGATCTCATGAAACTTGATATATAAGTTAATCCAATTGGAGAAGTGAAGTAGATACAGGATACCAATTAATTCTTTTTATTAGTAATGATGTTATGAAAACATGTAAGGTAATCAATAGGAGCTTGTTTTTATTTAGTTACTAATATATTTTGTGTCAATCAATCAGATACCAGGTGATATTGTATTACTAGAAATTCAGGATCAAACTGAGGTAGGCAAAATCCCTCAAGAAAATAATAAAAAACAGTAAATACTTTAAGAAGGTACAAGACAGTATATGAGAAAATGGATAATAAGCCTTCTTATATTAACAAAATCTCTATTTCTTATTGCTTCTAGCTCTGTAAGGTGACACTCCACTTGTCAGTTCTTTTATTTTCTAGAACCTTTTTGTCCTTAGTAGAGAAAGTACGTACTTGAGTTTTTTTAGGTTACTAGAGACTTAAGCCATTATTCAAAGGAATTTATAAACAAGTAAGAGAGAATAGGGGAATATATGAAGACAAATTTCAAGTTTTTTTAATAAAAGTGTAAAGATTTTATTAGCAAAGAAGTATAAAACTTCTTGCGAACATCTTTTTTGTGTGCAGTCAAAGAATCAGTAGAAAAAGTTTAAGGCTTTGAGTTTTTGACTAATATATATAATTTATATATATTTAATAAAATATATAATTAACTTAAAAAAGAATCAGCAAAAAATGTTTAATATAAAATCAATATTATATTAATATCTTTTTTTAAAAAATATATATATAGTATATATAATAGAATTCAATAATATTATATATTTTTATAATATATGAATTTTTGTATTTAAGTTTCTTTTTTAAATTTGTAATCAGGTCAGCACTGTATATTTATTAATTAATATAAAAATCAATAAAGATATATAAAACAATTGCATTATAACTAAACTAAATCTTGTATTGACTCTCTTATCAATAATTTTCAATTCTCAAAAAAGTTTTAGTTTCTAAGTGCAATCTTGTGAACAATATTTTGCTTTTTAATAGATTTTAGATACATATTTTTTTAATTTACATATTAATATTAGCAAATTTGTTATTACTTATTATCTTCCAAGAAATTAATTTTGAAAAACTATAAAAGAGAAGAAAAAAAAAATATTTAAAAATATATAATTGTAATATATAAAAATGAAAAAAAAAGGAAAAATAAAAGTGCTCTATATTTTTTAAAGAAACTTTACTAAAAACCTTTTTTTATTAAGAATCAATTTTTTTGAGATATCCTTTTTTTTCTGATAATCTAAGAAACTTATCTATTCATGATTTTGATTATTTTTTTACAACCATTTGAAGTACTTATTATCTATTTGATCTAATATTCTACTCAATACTTCCTTTCTTTCAATCTTAATTTTATATTTATCTATACTAAAGAATAAAATAACTGATTATATATTTCGATTATTATATAACCTTTCAGTTATATTATGTAACTCCTGATGTTTTTAGCAGTTATGTCTAGTTAAAGGAATTTTATTGATAAATATCTTTTATTATTCAAAAAGTTGGATTTTCCAATATTCTTTTTACCTTATAATAGTAGAAGTGTAAGACTAGTAATAAGAATTCTTGTCAATTATGATATTATTATATATTGTTTAAGAAAATGCATTTTTAATTTTAGAGAAGAGCAGTATTTTATATTTTTCTGCTTTTTAATTTTATAGTTTGACTGGAGTAAGGAAATAAACTCTATTATATACTTTACTTAATTAGGATAATAAAAAGTTAGAGATCTTAGCTTAAACAAATAAGTATCTTTTCATTACTTAAGAAATTTAGTACCTGTTCTAATGGTCTCATGATTTCTTTGCTTCAATTACACTTGATTTGAAAAAGTAGAAGAGTTCATATTCTTGATTTTATTTTTTTTCACAAATAATATCATTAGAATATATGATGTAATCAATAAAAACTTGTTTATATTCTACTACTAACATGTTTCATGTTAAATAATTATCTTTGGCAAAAGCTATATTGATTTTATGTCATTTCAAAATTTAGGATCAAATTGGGGTAAACAAAATTTCTTAGAAACTCTGAAAAATAAGTGACTCTAAGAGAGTAGAAAACAGTAGAAAGAAAAGTTTTCAGATTTAGGCTTTTGTTTAGTCATCTATCTACTACATAACACCTTTAGTTGTACTCTTGCTTCGGGAAATATGTTTTCAGTACTTCACTATTGATTTTTTTTTTTTTTCTTTTAGAACTTTCTTGCCATAAGTAAAAAATATATTTCTTGACTTTTCTTAGTTATTAGAAACCATATTTTTGTTTGAAAAGAAATATAAACAAGAAAAAGTTTTTTATAGAATTCTTGTATTTAAGTTTATTTGTATAATTTGATATTATATTATCTTTTAAAGAATAGATACTTATACTTATTTAATACTGATATTCACTTTTTTACTTTTCTAATACAAATATATATGTAGTGATAAAATCACGGGATGAAGTTTTTCTACTGTAATTTTTATGTCATGTAAAGTTTTTTTTTTTTTTTAATATAGATGTGATCGAGTCAAAATAAAATAGTTTAATACTGTATAATACTTTAAAACCAACTCATTAATATATAATATAGATGGTATAAATGATGAGACAAGCAAAACGAGATCACGATTAGAAATGCCAGTTATCGAAACAGAAGTTTTATTAATAATCGATTATTGGTTGATGAGATTTCTAATTATTTATGCTTTTTGTGTAAGGTTTAACACTACATGCATGCATAAATAGGTTGGATGCAAATTTGGAATTTCTCGAAATCTTGGTTAAAATCAATCATGTCTCAAGAAAAGGTAATTTTGGTCACCGGTGGGTCCGGACTTGTTGGCAAAGCGATTGAGTGGGTGGTCGAAAACGATACGGGGAGGTTTGGTAAGAAAGAAGGAGAGAAATGGATTTTCCTTACCAGCAAAGATGGCGATTTGAGGTAAATACCAGAATGGATTATATGCTAGTTGTTAATTTATGGAGTCGATTCAAAGTTTACTGTTTCCTAATTGAAAAATAGGTCAGCCGAGGCTACGCGCGCTATCTTTGATAAGTACAAACCAACTTATGTGATACATCTGGCTGCTTTAGTCGGAGGTCTTTTTAAAAACATGAAATACAAGCTGGACTTTCTGAGAGATAACTTGTTGATTAACGATAATGTCCTTCACATCGCCTACGAACACAAGGTAATGTCTAACAAGTTCAGTTCAAATCGCGTTCTTATTTAATGCGAAGCATGCATGCACTTGATCTTTTAGGTTCAAAAAGTTGTATCGTGCTTATCTACGTGTATCTTTCCCGACAAAACCTCATACCCTATTGATGAAAGCATGATTCATAATGGACCTCCACACGAATCTAATTTCGGCTATGCTTACGCCAAACGCCTAATTGATGTTCAAAACAAGTATGAAATTGTATATTGGGTTTTGCCTGTTTAATGAGAATACATTTATATCGAGTTTTACCTCTTCCTTAGGGCATACCATGATCAGTTCGGGTGTAAATTTACCTCTGTCATCCCAACCAACGTGTTCGGTCCTCACGACAACTATGATTTGCAAGATTCGCACGTCATCCCAGGATTACTTCACAAGTGTTATCTGGCAAAAAGCATGTGTCTACTGTTTAACATCGTTGTCCTGCTGTTTATTGGAATTCATTCGATTAATTGAATCACCATCATTCAGAAAATGGAACACCATTTGTTGTTGCCGGCAGCGGTAAACCACTTCGCCAATTCATATATTCACGTGACCTGGCGAAATTGTTTATTTGGGTATTAAGGGAATATGACGAAATTGAACCGATCATATTATCAGGTATTTTTCCATCAGGTCTTCCCTTTCATACGAATTTAAGTGAGACTCTTCAATTTTTATTTTCTAAAATCAGTCGGTGAAAAAGATGAAGTGTCGATCAAAGATGTGGCCGATTCAATTGTCAAAGCTATGAATTTTGAGGGAAACTACACCGTTAGTACATATATATATTTATGGTGGACACGAGTCCATGCCATTACTTATTTTCAACATTTTCAACTAATATCACTTTTTTTTTTTAAAAAAAAAAAAAAAAAAAAAATCGGTGTTAACGTAGTTTGATACTTCCAAGGCTGACGGTCAATACAAAAAAACAGCCAGCAATGAGAAATTACTAAAGTATCTTCCAGACTTTGAGTTTACACCATTCGATATTGGTAAGTGGATATTTTTCATTATTATTTTTATTTTTATTTTTCCTTGAATGCCTGCGTTCTGATATACAACCTACTTCAATATCACTACACAAAGCCATGAAAGAATCTGCCGAATGGTTCATCGAAAATTACGACACCGCTCGTATAGGTCACCCCTGAGGGACCATTGCCAATCACAAATCATATTCTGCTGGCCCCTTATATCCACGATAAATCTCAACCCCATCTTTTACGAATCCTTCCTCCCAGTTTAATTCATCGCGAGCGATCTTTTCCACCTTCCAATTTAATTTCTCCAATCCTTCAAAGAACATTTTATCCGATTTTGTTGTACGCGTTTGATGTGAAAGTAAAAGCTTGGTGTGCAAAGGAGTTGACAGAGCTATCGATCACAGGAGAATTATTTTTATGGTTAATAAAGTCTCATAATAGAGATGGGAATTTCCACTAACCGTCTATTGTCTTGATCAACGGTTGAATCAAATAATCCACCCAGACAATATCTGCTCCGATAATGAAATCCCACGGATCGTTTTCGTTGGTTAAGGATTTCAAAAAAATTTCTCTGGAAATTTTACTCGTGATAATTAAAAAATAAAAAACAAAGTTATACAATAATGATAAAGAAATCCTCCAAACTAACCGATTCAACCAGTCCAGAGGTTTAACATCGATACTACCCTCTAACCCATTTAATTTGACTATCCTTTTTATCCGAGGAATTATGTCTGGCACGTCCGTCGTCGTAACTTTTTTTGCGCCCAAAATTGCTGTTGCCAACGATGGGATTGATTTACCCGAGCCCTGTTTTTTTTTTTTTGTTTTTGTTTTTATGTAGAGAAACATCAAATCAATACTGAAATTAAGAAATAGTTCGAAGAGGACGAAAGTTGGTCAATTACAAGTTCAAGAAAGTTTTTTCGTGTAAAATTCATTTTACAGTGTTTTTCTTGTTTCTCGAGAAATTTCGAGAGAATCAGACTCTAAAAAAAGTTAGTTACAACTAGGGAATAAATAGGTGATAACTTGAGCCGTTATTAGCTTAAACAAAGTGAGCCCATTTACCGCATCCCATACGCTAGCTGCCGTACAGACAGCGTGGTCTTTTATTTCGACGTTACCATCCTCAACGTCAGTCACGGACTTAGATAAAGGAGGATAGTATAGATAAATCGGCCGATTTTTTACTGTGAAACTTTCCGAATCGGATGTTGAACATGTGGGCGTTTCTGTAAATTGAAAGTTGAAAGAGGGGAATTTTGGTCCTTCAATTAATAGCAATGATGGAGCTGAAAGTGACATTTCGTACGCGTGCCATGAGCAAAACTTGATTGGATAATCTATTTCGTGCTCTGTGTTACAATTCCAGAAAATGATATTCATTACGTATGCTGAATATCTCGGAACTAACACGTATCATTGAAAAAAATGGGAATCTCTCTTGTCGCGATACTTCTCATTATAAACTCTTCCAGTCGAGGTCAACAATTCGTCTTTCACTACCCCAAAACTCCGAAAAGACGAGAGGAATCCGATAAGATAAAAAGAAAGATAGGTGAATACGAGGAATTCGATGATGCATTTGAAGAGGATGTCGTAATTTGGCCTCACGGTAACATGGGCGACGAGGGAGATAACGATCATAAAAACAATGATGCCGATCAAAACAACATGTCATTTAAACTGTTTGGTTTTGAGACTGAAATTCTGGCAACCATTCTTTGTCCCAAGGCTCAAAGTTCAAAATTTCAATTATCAATTGACGATTTGACTTTTGTTGGACAACCAGTGTTTCTTGAAAGCACGGCCACGGACAAACCTTCAACGAATGGGATTTTAAATCAAAAGTCTTCGGGTACATCTAATAACGCTCAGTCGAAATTGACATTCTTCCATCTCGTATTTGTTCTTGAGCCTCCTGAATTAGAACTTGAAAGACAGGTAGATAACGTATATAGACATGTTGTCACGAAACTAACAGCTGCGTTAAATTACGAACAAAGGAGATGTGATTATGTTAGGAAAGAAGCCGAGATGATTTTATCATTAAGGGAAAATTCGGGTAAAAATAACATTCGTTTATTATCATTAATCAATCAAATTATACGTGAAAAATATATATTCAACATAAAAATGATTCGAAAATTAGGGTCCACCTTGGATGAATTTATGGAAGAGATTCTGAAGAAAAGCACATTGACCAAATCAATTCAACAAGTGTACGATTCGATATCAGCAGATCGAATAGCTCATGTATTGATAAATGATTATATCGACCTTTCCTTGCAAGTTTCTCCGCTTGCACCTACTGAAAGCGATGCGACCGGTCATGGATACGACCATTATCCCATTATAGCGCCTTATCATACCCTATTGCTTCTTGAAGACCCTGAGGTTATTCTAAAGAACATACCATTAGATGCGAACCCCACGCTGGTTCAGTTGATACAGATCTTGACCCCTACGAAGCGGTATGACTTGTGAAACATTTTCGGGAAAAGTAGTATGTACTTATCTCACCTCATCATTTACAAAATTATTTATCTTGTTCAGTTTGGTGGACTTATGCACCGAATTGGATTGTTCTTTGGCTCAAATGTTTAAAATTGCCGCTCATCTTATATATTGGCGAAAGGCGAAAATAATTGATGTGGTTAGCATGCGAAACACATACATTGTTTCTCCCACAGCAAACATGAATAAGTATGTTGTTTTTTCGTGTTTTTGTCCTTAATCATAGTCATTGTGGCCACTATAATCTCGCTCAATAAAATGACAAGGTTACCGGCTCACATTGAATACTTTAAACAACATTTTCCCGCGGACGTGGATCTCGTGAAGATACTCGCTTCTCTTTCTGCTTTTAAACCATACATGATAAGCGTCAAAGTATTCAAGGAGGACCGTACGATGCACCTTGAGGCCATAACATATTTATTAAGAAACGAATTCTTGGTGCAATTGCACGCGTACATCCTCTTCATGATACCTAAATACATCAAGATGGGCTTGACGCAAGGATCGACAGATGATGACCATGACGTGGTTCTAATCTCGCCCGAAAATGAGGCGTCGGATAGTGAAAAGAAATGGTTAGAAGGGTTTACTGCCAAGGAACCCAAGGAAACCCTGTTTCAGAAGTATGTTATGATTCTTAAACGTCCAACGCGTATGTGTGATGAGATTTAACATTCACATTTTTTTTTTTTATAGATTGATCAAATATTTTAATGGGAAACATCACATCGATGAAATTCTCTTTCGCGAAGACATTAGATCTCGAGATATGGGAAAGGTACTGAATTTGGTTGGTAAGGATGCAATGGTTGTTTTGTGTTAGGCGAATGGGCAGGTAATGTACTTTGTGCTTGCATGTTGTTTCATATCATTCAACAATTGTAGTTTTATATCAAAATATCACTTTCATGGGAAAGGAAATATTGTTTAAATGCTTATGTATAATAAAATATTTTAGATTAAAATTTTTAATATTGTATCCTTGATGATTTTATCTTGTATCCTCCGCAGGTGTAAATCTAATATAAAAATCCGACCAATAGAATCGCGGAATTCATGAATTAAAAGTCAGGTGGTTCGGGCAAATTTCGCGCAAACTTCAATGTTCGTGTAACGTCTTCAAATAAACGCACGCATTTGTCTTGAAAGGTTAATCAATGATAATAATGATAATTTATTATGTAGCAATGAAATTAAAAGATCAATTCTCAACAAAAATTAAATGCCTACTTCTCTCACAATGCAAAAAATGGGATAATCTAATGCATTGAAAACCGAATCGATCATCTTTCTGTCAAAGTTTGAATATAAAAAAGGTTAGCACGGATCTTACACTAGTATATTAGCACGTGTAATAAAGATCGACGAGAGGTTAATCTTCTTTCTTCTCTCATTACGTAAAAATTGGTAATAATGGTTAAAGCCGTGTGCATTCTTCACGAAGACAACAGCTCTGTCCGGGGTGTCGTCACTTTTACTCAAGAGAGCGAAGGCGCACCCACTAACGTTGACATAAATATCTCTAACTTGGCGCCCGGGCAACATGGGTTTCACATTCAGTAAGTAATTACCTGACTGATAAAAACTAATGGACGGTGAAAATTGTATAATAGAATGGTGCTCGCTTGTATTAAAACAAGAGATGCTTATTATTATTATCTAATTTAATTTCATCATCGAAAGTTCAAAATTCTCATGCGTCATATTACTAAATATCACATGACTTGCGTTATTAGTGAATTCGGTGATTATACTAACGGATGTACTTCAGCTGGGGGTCATTTCAATCCATTTGGCAAAGTTCATGGTGCTCCTGAAGACGAAGAACGTCATGTCGGAGATTTGGGCAATGTTACAGCTGATGACGGCGGAAATGTGAAAATCATTATCACGGATAATAAAATTTCTTTGTTCGGAGCTAATACCATTGTCGGGTATGAATTATATTCAACGAATAGATTTTTGGGATTAAAATTTTGTTTAAAGCTCACTTTTTAAACTTACTTAAATAGACGTTCCGTGGTTGTTCATAAGGATGTCGATGATATGGGAAAAGGTGGTGCTGTTGATTCTCTCACGACTGGTAACGCCGGTGCCCGTCTTGCCTGTGGAGTTATCGGTAAATCTACAAAACCCAAAATTATTTTATACAGCACATAATTCTTTTTTTATTAACTCATTTTCAATGCTTCTATATAACATACACAGGTATCGCCAAATAATTTCCAAAGTTTATTCACGTACAATGTTTCTTTCGGTTGTTTTTTTTTTTTTTTTTGTGAACAAATATAAAAGGCATAGTTTATGTACCGGCGTGCCTCCTTTCAAGAAATAAAGAATGATTCTTTTAAGAAAAATTTTTTGTATTCTCTGAAAATAAAATATCTTAGTTTGTCATTCGCCAATTGGTTATTAATTATTGGCATACAGTATCTTAATATACAGTATTTAAGCACAATTTTTTAAAGAATTTCAATATATACAGTATATACAGTAATGTTTTTATTATGAATTTCAATTTTAACTATTTTTTAAATAATAATGATATCATCAAAAAATACAAAATTTGCACATAATATTATTTAAAATTTACCTTAATAGTCTCACTTAGAAATAATATCATGAAATTTAGATATATTTTTCTTTTATTGAGGATTTTAAAGGCTCCTTTAATAATAGTAGTTTTTATAAAATTACATGTCTCATTCAATACTTGAGATTGATCATAATTAAAAGCGGATATTAAGTATAGTAGATTATTAAAATTATTGAAAGTGATATTTATCTATTGTTTATACTTTTTTTGCTGTTCTGTAATAGAGTTGACTATATTTGAAATCTTTGTTCTCTTGATTTTCTATTGCTCTTGACTTTTCTTCTAAAACAAGTTACTAGCTATTAGTTTATTACTTAAAGTATATAATTACTATTAATTATGACTTTTATAAAATTCAATCTATTAATTACTAGAACTTCAAAACAAATATATTTGTTATTGTTGATTTTTTTTACTACTGAAATATTATAAATTAATTGGTCAAGAATATTCTAAAAAATATAAAAATGTTAAATAAAACAAGTAAACAAATATTATCATTATTTAATATTTAAAGAAAAAAAATCAAATTATTTTAATATGAAAAATATAAACTTTCCTATATACAGTATTAGAATCAATCTATTATTATTTTACAAGGCATCTTTTTGATTATATATAAATCAAAGCTATCTATCAAAATAAAAATCTATTTTATTTTTTATAGCTTCTTATTAAAACTATATTGAACCTTTTCAAATAACTTTTTTTAATTTTTTTTTCTTATATTTATTTTATTTAATATTAATAAAAAAAATATAAAGTTAAAAGATATATGGATCAATAATATAGTGATAGTACTTCCAGGTAACAATTACAAGGTTGTAGTTCAATACTATTTAAGAACTAAAAATCAAAAATTACCTTCTGATCAGGTTTTACTGATTATTCTATAAAAGTCATAACTAATTATCCAGAACAAGATCAAATTATATTAGACTACAGAAAAATAAGACTTTTGACGTTTTATCGATTAGGGATTTAGATTTATAGTTGTACTACCAGAAGAATTGCATGAAGAAAGGCTTTTGGTTTAGCCTACCATAGACACCTTATAATTTTTCTGTCCTGATAGTCTCTAGAATCCCACTCTTCTAGCTCAGAATATCCCAATATTATGTTTTGTTTAATTAAAAATCATTAATAGTAACTGATCTAATGCCACAGATAATGACAAAGAAGACAATATGTCTCTTTTCAAGGCCTGAGTGAATAATATCTAAAAATATTGGAGGGTGTTATACATCCTATCAAGTATATATAAAAAAGGATTATCTTAGTGAAACAATAAAAAATCTTATAAGCTCAATATGAACTAATCTAGTCTCGTTATTGATGACTATATATTAACTATTCAGCTTCTAGTTAGGTCTGCTCACTTAAGAAATAATAGTAGGTTTATCTAGGACAAACCGTGATAAGTTATTATTAATTTGCTTATATATAAAAATATATAATTTGTATAAGATGATTAATATTATGCTAAGGATTTTATTATTCAAATATTAAATTAATTTTTAATAAAAAACTTAAATCTAATACCAGTTATAGTATAAAAAAAAATAATAATAAAATCAAAACAATTTTAAAAAAAATATTTCTTTGAAAAAAAACTTAATATTTAATAAAATAGATTAAATATTCTCTTTGTAACATAATTTAAAAAATACAGTATAAGAAAAATTGAAAAATATCTTAGTCAAAATTAAAAAATTTAAAAAAATATTAATATTTATTTTTTTTTAAAAAAAAGAATATAATAAAAAAAAAACTCTCTCTATAGATTATCAAACTATAAATTTTCAAAAAGAAAAATTTTATCAAAATTTTGTTTAAAAATAAATAGAAAAAGCCTGAGGGTAGCCCTTTCAAGGCTATATATAATAAAAATAAATTCACTATCTTAGACATTGTCTTAACAGATAATAAAAAATAAAAAATCACTATTATCTATAAACAAAATAAAATTTCAGTTATTTATGCAACTAAACCAGCTTTATATATTCAAGTATAAATCCTTCAATATTATATATTATTTTAACTACCAATTATTAACCCTTCTAACTTAAACACAAGCCTAGATCCAAAAATTATCCATATTAAATTTGATATTAAAAAATAAATCCTATAATTAATGATGAGTTTCTAAAGTATTTAGTATATAAAATTTCATAGATCATTTATATCCATTTTGAGAGACAAAATTCATAGCTCTTCATTTTAATAAAGACAAAAGTCAAGAAATACTATAAATCAATAATTTGAATAATAAAAAACAATTGTGTATAGTTTTTTTATAATTATTAATTTAAAAATTTTAATATTTTCTAGTAAGAAACTTTTGACTTTTTCTTTAACTTCACCTTTAGAGACCTATCTTTATCTATAAGCTTCTTTTCTTTCTCTTAATGTTTTAACTGAAATCCTCCCTTATAATAACCTTATTATTTAAAGAAATTTATGAAACACCAATTAACTTTTCATTTATCAAAGAATAATAGAACACTTGCAGTTTATCAAATGATCAAAAATCTATAGACTATAAACTTTACTACTCTTGAAATCAAATTTCTGTCTTTATTGATATCAATTTCAATATTTTTTCTTTTAAAAAAAAGAAAATATCATATTCTCTCTAAATATTTATATACCACAAAATAATTATCAGATAAATACAAAACTTACAAATATAGAATCCCTAATACACATAATATAGAATTAATCAATCTAGAAGATGATCAATTCTATTCTAATACCAAAATAGACAACCTTTTTAATAATAGTACACTTAAAAATATCAATCAAAATCAATCCTCTCTTGATTATACTATAGCCACAGATATGAAAATTGATCTCAGTAATAATAAACTTGTTTTTTATTCATGGGCTAACAAAATTGAAATTATATTTGATACTGAAGATTAGTGTTCACAATTTTGATTTGAATCTGATTGATCTGTAAATTGGATACAAATCGAATTAAATCAAATTTCAAAATTTTTAATTTGATCAGATTCGAATCAAATTGAGTTTTAAATTTACAAAATTATCAGATTCAAATTAGATTTAGATTAAATCCAATCGAATTCAAATTGGATCCAGATCAAACCTGATATAATTCAAATCAGATATGCATCAGTTCATATAAATTGTTATATAATTATTAAATTTCATTTAAATCGAACTATCTAGAAAATTAAAATTGAACTATTTAGAAAATTAAAATCAAACAATCTAGGAAATTAAAATTGAACTATCTAGAAAATTAAAATTGAAGTATCTAGAAAATTAAAATCAAACAATTCAGGAAATTAAAATTAAACTATCTAGAAAATTA